AATAGCAATAGCAATAGCAATAGCAATAGCAGTAGACTTATATACCGCTTCATAGGCCTTTCAGGCCTCTCTAAGCGGTTTACAGAGAGTCAGCATATTGCCCCCAACAATCTGGGTCCTCATTTTACCCACCTCGGAAGGATGGAAGGCTGAGTCAACCCTGAGCCGGTGAGGAATATGGAGGCCTTTTGCAGAGAATCAAGAAGTAGAGTGTTACTCAACTCCGTAGAAGTTCTCCACCTTTGCCTTATACACACAATTTATAAGATGCCATATACCTTGCTCTGGGGCCATGAAAGCATTCAGCACAAACCTTGCAGGGAAGAATAGGTGCAGGACAATGCAGAGAAAAAGAGTTAACCAAGTGTTGCCCCCTTGCATAGTGCAAGAGAGAGCCCATCCTTCCTCCTACCCGGGCCTAGACAGCCTTCTGTCCATACGGAAGAAAAAAGAGCAAGAAGTTCCCTTCCTCACCCACATGACATTCCAACTGTCAACCAACTGTAACCATGACTACCTTTCTCCTTTACTGGTTTTCAGCTAGGTTCCAGAGAATGTTGGGATTCTTTGTGGACATATTAACTTCAGCTCTGTGGCCTAATACCTCGCTGTGTACTGCCCAAAGTCCCATATAATGCTCAATTTTCAGGAGAAGAACATATCACTTCTAAATCCCTCAGTTGACTGCTGGACTCAATAGGCTTAGCCAGTGGTGTGCTTAGGGCTGATTCTCTCCTTTTGCAAATTGGGGCTGTTGCCACAATCAGAGATTGTTGGGAGTAGAGAGTGGCGATGAATATTGGATATAGGATAATGATGTAACTATAAATGAAATGTACTTATGAGTAAGCAAGCCAAGCTTTCCAATGTTTAGATTTAAAATAACAAAAACCTGTGGCAAATATAAGATAAATAGCAATTTGAAGAACTTTGCTTTTTTGTTTTTTTTAACCAAATCCCAAGACAGAGAAGAAAGAAAGAAAGAAAGAAAGAAAGAAAGAAAGAAAGAAAGAAAGAAAGAAAGAAAGAAAGAAAGAAAGAAACATATTTGTATTCTGTCTGACAAAATCAAGGGCTTTCCGATTAGGGGGTAATGTTTTCTGACTGAATTAAGCCCTATCAGATTCAAGATCCTTTTTAAAAAAAAGCATCACGAAAAAGTACTTTTAGGGCTAGAGGAATTATGTTTCTTTTAACAGTAGTTTGGAAAACAATTGTAGCCAGGAATGAATAATAATAACTCCTCAACAGTTATCATTGTTCGGGAATATGATTTACATCCACTGGACCACCTTCCTCACAGCTTGAGGGCGCCCTGTTTCTACACAACTTCTAACCATTTCCTGTCCTTATCATCTCATTATTACAATGCAACCCAGCTCCTTTTTTTGAATCTGAAACTTGCCTATTTGGGAATCTTCCTTCCTTTCTGAAGTTCAGTGGAATCCCTGAACCCTGGAGAGAAGCTTTCTGACTAGGTGCTGCTGCCAAAGAAAATGGAAGGTGAGAGATTTACTGGAATTCTGCTGATTTTATTTTAGCAAAACTCAAGTTTCTTTTATTTTTCAGCAACCATAGTAATCTGAATTATGAACTTTTTATAAAATATTTTTGCTTTAAAATCTATTTCCTTTTCATTGCCCACTTAAGCGTCCCCCCTAGATTTTAACTTTAACATCTCAGAGGAATAATAGTGCGAACATTCGGTCAGAGTAATACATTTGTACTCCAAATTCTTACTAAGTTTCCACAATTTACATAACTTTGCTTTATATGCCTCTTTGCTCGTATGCCTGCTATTAGGATTTTTCAACAGATTTATTTTTCTTATATACTGTAATATTGAATCAATCAATATATTTCTAGAAGAATTATAAGATTTACAAATATATTACCAAGAGACCCCCCTCCCCACCCAAATGGCTGTATTTCTAAACCTGCAAAGAACATCCTAAAATGTCACTAAAAACTACAAGAAAAAGTTTAACTTTGTTTTTTCTGGTTCTCATAACTTCTCAAAACATGAATTATATATTTCAGTACATGCTTTTTGCTGACTAGTAAATTAGGAAATATTTTAACAGAAAATATTTGTCATAGGTTAGAATCTTTAGAAGGAAGTTAGTTAAACCATTACCTCAATAATAGTTTATTAAATTAAATATCAAAATCCTCCCACAAGTAAGTATATATTGATTAGGATGTGGCTGCTCTCACAATTAATATACAATTCCAATTTTCCTTTTTATTTGTTATATAGGATATAATTTCAGATATAAAAATTTAAAAATATTGCATGTTTCAAACATTTTAATCTGGAAGTTTAAAATGTCACTGCAATCAAGATAATCAGAATCAGTTACCTGTCATAAATGTTGTCTGCCATTGTTAGGAGTTTTGCGTTCCAAAATAAAAAAAACTGAAACAGGTAAATTGTGAATTTCTATATCCAGCACAGCAGGTTGAACTCTTCACTATAATTCCATAAGTGATATTAAAAAATCCCATCTGTCAAGTGAATTTGTGCTCTAAAAAATTTATGTGTCACAAAGTGAAATTTCATGTGTTTATTTAAAAGAAAGCTTCTTTGAAATCAGTGGGGAATTCCTCTCAGTCAACATGATTTGGTTCTAGCAACAATGTTTGCATGGTGCCAAAACAGTTTTTAAAAGTGTGCTACACCTTTAAAAAGTCTCTGCATCTAGTGAGTTGGTACTAACACATCAAAACAAATATACTTTTTATGTCTATGTGTTACATTTGAGAGAGGAAAATGCAAACCTGTGAAATGAACAGTAGGATTTAATATGTATGTTATTTATATGCCTGTGTATAAATGTAAAACACCACTACACTTCTTTTTTCAGATTGCATTCAGGTTAAAATATATTTTTCGGATCAACATAATAAAAACGAGGCAGGTGTCTTTGATTTTCTTCCTAATGTCAGAAGCAAAATAATTTCTTTTCCAGTTGCATTCTTTCCATTTTATTTAGTCCAACATGGATTATACTTTTTCTATGATGTTGAAGATTTAGATTTTCTCCAAAATGTGGCCCAATATTTTTAATATTGCTTTATTGTCCTATCCCAAACAATGATATTTTAGACTAGCCAAAAATTCAGATGATTATTGCAGAGCAATAAAATAGGCAAATATAATGCAAAATATTAATGCAAAGACTAAGCATTCTTGTCTTCAAAAGAAGGAAGAGGGGAGGAAAAGAGAAAAAAATTGGGGGGGAAAGATTTCTGAGACCCTCCTGCAATCTTTTCACCTTGTTAGGTAGTGATAATATATATATTTAAGTATAATGTTCTAGGCAAATGGAGGGAGCTCAAATTTTTAAATAAACTTTTAAGTCTTTATATCAAACTCTTCCCTATTTCTTTTTTTACAGGCAAAGATATACAAATATATATTATGCCCTAAGATTAGATGCATTTTTATTTTCCTGAGAAAAGAGCAATTAAAATCCTGGGACAATGGAAAGTTAAAATATTCTACTTTACAAATGTGAATAACAAAACATTACCTGGTACCCCATTCTTAATTTTAAAAGGCTACTTTTTTAAAAAATAGAAAAAGTTGGGAATGGTAGCATGAAGTAAGAGGTGTACTTAACAGTATCATTAGTTGGGGATTTCCAGATCCTAGATCTCATTCCTTTTGGTTCTCCAAACCCAGTTGCTTTCTTAACCCTATGAATAAGGAGTTAACATCCATAGGTCTGTTCTTGTCATACCTGTAAGCCGCCCTGAGTCTCTCGAGAGTGGGCGGCATACAAACCAATTAAATAAATAAATAAATAAATAAATAGAGGTTTTCTTGGCCTCTGCAGACTGGGGAAGGTTTGGGTGTATGATTTGCCCCTTCCTCATTTTAAATACTGTTCTGGCCATTCAATTATTCTTCAGAGACTGCATTTCCTAAGTCTTCAACAAAGATAAAATATTTCCTCAGCCTTTTTCTCACTGGGTTCCTGTCATTAGCCGCCCAAGGATATCCAGATGATTATCATTGGAAGATTTGGCTATTTCGTATGTAAAGCTAATTTATAGTTTTTGAAGGTATGTTCCAGGTCTTAAAGGTAGAAACAAAGGATTTAGTTGACATTGGAAATACATTTGCAAAGGAAAGGTCCACATTATTGGTGAATGCATACCTTCTATGGACATCTAGACATGAACTATGGATTGTTAAAATATTATCTTGGATAACCTACAAATCTGAGGACTAAGTGTTTTTTCTTCATATCAAATGAATTAACAGATATTAGTAAAAACCCTAAATGATATCCTTTTGTTTGCTTATTTCTTGGGCAAGTCATCCAATTATTATTTTTCTTATTGGGAATAAATTTTACTATGATCTCTCCCTGAAGTTTATGTCTGTTTCTCCCCCCCCCCCTGACTTCTTTTCTTTTTGTCCCAGAGAAAGTTTGAGGTCACCAGGCCCTATTTAAAAACTCTGTGAGTGAAAGTTGCTAACACTGACAGTTTTCAGCCTTCATTTTAGTTCTCTCCAACTCTCTATAATTTAAACCTTCAGAAGTGAGTGGATGGAGCAGCTATGCATACTGATCATTGAGTACATACATCCAAAAACCATTGACCTAAAATTCAGGGCAGTTTTTCCTTTCCTTTCTATGAAAACCCTCTTCCAATATGTCCTTTTTCAATACAATCTTAATTGTCAGATAATGTTACATGTGCTTAAGCTGCAGCTGTTCTTTAATAAGTACAATCACTTTCATTTTTGATATCAAACATTATTAGCTTTTTTCCCCTCTTTACTTGTAAAAAAAGGTGTTGTGGTCAATTTGCAAGCACTCTTTGCTTCAGATGTCCTTGGTGCATATTGTTGAAGTAGAATAGAATAGAATAGAATAGAATTATTTATTGGCCAAGTGTGAATGGACAAACAAGGAATTTGTCCTTGGTGCATATGTACCATAGAGTCTACACCTGCTGTTGTGTCTTTATTCTGCAAGAATGTACAACTTACGGAGGCAATCCTTTCAAATATCAACATAGTGGGAAAGTACATAAATATTTTTTTTAAAATATATGAGAAAATGAAAGGTGTGTATTGTTTTGGTGACAATGGATCAACATGTTCTTAAACTTTAGCTAAATTCTGCAAGTATCAAAGAAAAGGAGAAAAATAAATAAGAAGTGGTTTTGCTTAACTTCAAAAAAGATTCAGGCTGTCCTTGAAAGTGTTGTTTTGAAATGCCTTAGTTTCTCACATGGGATGAGAGCGTCTCAATGCATAATAATTATGAGAAAAAAGTTTCGAGATATTCATGTTTAGAGATATTCCCCTTCTTTTTTGTTATGATGCACACTTTTTTCAATAGTGCTTCAGCAAATACGTTCTCTGAGTTTTTCACTCAAATAAAGCTGATGGCATCTGTCTATAGTTTACATGTGAGAAACAACTGTTGAGGAAGGTAGCAATGAGTGGCTATCAACTTCTGACTTATAGCTCAAGAACTAATTGGCTTTACTTGACCTTCCAGTTTCAAACATCATGTAAAAAGATTTTTTCCAATCCATTTCTGTGATCGTTAGTTGATTAATATTGTGTATCCTGGTATACATAACCCATTTTAAGTGATATGGAGAGGAATCATCCGGGTACCATTGGCGGGTCAATGTCGGCTGGCGACCCCCCAGGGGAGGGCCTTCTCTGTTGCTGCCCCAGCCCTATGGAATGATCTTCCCGTAGAGATCCGGACCCTCACTACTCTTCCGGCCTTCCATAAAGCCACTAAGACCTGGCTGTTCCGGCAGGCCTGGGGCTGTTGATCAGCATCCAGCCCCATTTTAAGTGTATATATGTTCTGTATTTTTAAAATGATTATATTTCTATTTTTAATTTTAAATTCCCTTGTTTGTCTGTAAGCCGCCCAGAGTCCCCTGGGAGTGGGCGGCATACGAATACCAATAAACTGGAAACTGGAAACAAAAGTACTATCTTTTTTTTTTTTTGAATTCCACAGTATTAGGTATCTATTTTTTAAAGTGTTATCTGATTAATATTGTACAGATGTATTAGGTACCTATTTTTTAAGCGATATCTGATAAATACAGATTTTAAAAATAATCTTGAAACAGGAACAATTAAAATGTTACAATTTAAGCTACAGTCCATATTTCTTGCAAGTGGTGAAGAAGCATGGGACAAGAAATTGGATTAAATTCCTTCACTCAACCTATTTCATGTTAATCATATATTCCTAATTCTGTAACTTCCCCACCCCCACCCAAAAGCACTTGGTTTGCTTAGGGAGATGAAAGCAGTGTTTTGATAGTGGTTTGGAAAGGTCTTCATTTATCAAAGTTTGTATATTCAGAGCTTGCAGAGGCCCCGTGTATGTTCCATAAACCTTGGTGGTAATGCAAGGGAAGCGGTTAACACTTTCCTGCTGCTTCAAATGAACTAAATTTCTCAGTTATGTAACAGCCAGGAGCAAGATTTTAAGATTTTTCAGATTCCTTGATAAGATGATAAAAAGTGGAGTGAAAGGAAGAAATTAACTTAAAAAGGGAAACTGTAATATTGCCTTTAAAAGAGGAAAATTTGATCTTCATCAAAGGCAGTTGATCAGTTTTGCAATGAACAGACCAGTCATGCAAGGAAAAGAGCCTGTTAAAAACAACTGGCCTATGTCATGGATGGGAATTGGCTGAGCAGTTGAGGAGCACTGGATGGAGTAAAAGCCTTCTCTTTCATGCCTGGATTGGATTCGGGTTTGGAATGGAAATGGTGCACCTTTAACAGAGTTGGTAGGTCTTCTAAACCAACCCCCTGCCCAAGTAGGAGACCCTACCGCATTTTTTTCCAGATGGCAGTCCAGTTCCTTCTAGAAAGCTTCCAGTGATGAAGCTCCCACAACTTCCGAAGGCAAGCTGTTCCATTGGTTGATTGTTCTCACTTTCAGAAAAATTCTCCTTATTTCTAGGTTGAATCTCTCCTTGATCGGTTGCCATCCATTATTCCTTATCTGGTTTTCAGGTGCTTTGGAAAACAACTTGATCCCCTCCTCTCTACGGCAGCCCCTCAAATATTGGAGCACTGCTATGATCTCTCCCCTGATGCTTCTCTTCACTAGACTAGCCATGCCCAGGTCCTGCCACTGTTCTTTATATGTTTTAGCCTTCAGTCCCTTAATCATCTTGGTTGCCCTTCTCTGCATTTTGTCTTGAATATCGACATCTCTTTTATAGTGTGGTGACCAAAACTGGATGTAGTTTTTAAATTGTAAATACCTGCTTGGTATTCTGCTCTATTTCTTTAGAACCTGGCTGCCTAGTTTTATAATACATTTATTTTCATATTAAATTGATATTCCATTATTAATGTCCTGTACTTATTTTTTAACAATTGCAATGTTGGAGTGCAATACAATTACTATTGTTGTTTTTTCAACATGTAGCAAACCAGTTCTAATATATATGAAAAACTTTCTCTTTCCAATGAGTTAAGTCTGAACTTCTGCCTCAGAGTCCTACCCTGAGGTACCACTGGATAAAAATTAGGGTGTTTAAACTTCTCAGAGGGCTTTCATTTCCATTCTTATCTTTTTTTTTCCTAAAAAGAAAAAAAGTGGCAATTGAATAATTTGCCCCAAAACTTCAATATGATCTTGTACTGAGGTGCATATGTGGCATGGGGGTGCAGATTGTCCAACCCTGTCCTAAGTGAATTTCAGGGACATCCACAGAGGAGATCAAAGAAGTCACAATATAGCCATAACCATGCAATAAAAATGCAAACCTGCACTAGGCTCAGCTTGCAGAGACAATAAATATTAAATATTGCATCAGAATCTACCCAGAAATTACATGCATTGCTTTAGGAGTGAATTTTCTGTCTTCTCTTCTGATAATTTATTTGCCCTTGGAAGTCTGGGGATATATTTAGTTATTACATGAATTCCACTGCAGGTATTACAAGACATTGTATAGATTTCTTTCAGAGCTGTCACTTTAGAAAAGTGTTCTAACGTGAAAAATAAGTTTTCAAAATAAGAACACAGTTCTGAGCCCTTGTGATCTGTACCCGCTTGCATTACAGAAGTGATACAGTACAGAGTTTACAAAGACTGAGTTCTTTCTTTGTGTTTGCCTGTTGTAGATTCACCAGCTGGCTTGGACCTCAGCCGTTGTCAAGAACAGACAGAACATGCAGGTTTGGGCCATTAAACTCTCCTCATTTCCTTCCTTAAAAAAGCTTCTTACCTACTTGTGACAGGGCCCTTTTGGACAGTGGTACAAACCAGCAACAACCTTCCCTGTGGGAAGCTTTTACTATATTATTATATATTACATTTTATTATATATAAAACTTAACAAACTTATTTATCTTCCTACCTTACTGCTAAGTCTATGCCATATTATCCAATACTCAAAGCATGCTGTACCTTAAAAATAGCCTAATGAGGTCTCAAACCTCATTAAAATTCCTGCTATGGTGATTCGTCCTCTTCCGCAACATTTGTCTTTGTTTTCTTTTCATTAAAACTGTATCAGGTTTACGGGATATTTTGAATGATGGGGGTTCTAACTCATATCATGAAACAGAAAACATGGAGAACAGTGAATATGAGAAAGAATATAATTCGACTAATGAAAGAGAGAGAGAAGGTAAAGTATAAGCTGTACAATTAAAATTCATAATTTGGTAGACAGAATGTGACATAAATACACACATGCATGCATACACATACACACACACACACACACACACATTAATTACATAAATAAAGAATTCTATTGTTTGTACAGGTAGTCCCCAACTTATGACCACTATTGAGCCAACATTTCTGTGTTAAGTGAGACATTTGTTAAGTGACATTTGCCTTATTTTACAACCTTTCTTGCCACAGTTGATAAGTGAATCACCACAACTGATAAATTAGTAACATGGTTGTTAAGTTAATCTGGCTTCCCTATTGATTTTGCTTGTCAAAAGATTGTAAAAAGGGGATCACATGACCTTGGGACACAGCAACAGTCATAATATCAGTCAGTTGCCAAGTAAGTGAAGTTTGATCACATGATCAGAGGGATGCTACAAAGGTCATAAGTGTGAAAAATGGTCCTAAGTCACTTTTTCAGTGTCATTGTAACTTTGTACCATCGATATATGAACTCTTGTAAGTTGAGGACTACCTGTAATAGCATCATCATGAAGACACCAAAACAGCAATGTCTTCCATAACCTGAATGGGTCTACTGGGTTTTCAAGGCACATAGAATAGGTTTGTGGGGAACTGGGATGGGAGTGAGGATTAAGAAGATCGTGTGGAGTAACAGACACAGGACAAAGATTGGTTGATGGGAGGCAGGAACTACATGGGTGGCAAAAGCAGGAGGTGGTCAAATCTTGACTCCTCGGTTGCAATCTAACTTGTTCTTGCAAAATTGCCATTAACTGCAGCTTTAGATTGAAATGGGTAGTGATAGCCTGAATTCTAACAGAGAAAAAAGCCATCTCCAAATAGAAAATTTACAAGTTTGGAAGGATTCAGAACAGAGGTGATATTCTGCCCGTTCACCCGGGTTCGGACGAACCGGTAGTGGTGGCGGCAGGAGGCTCTGCCCACCTCCCCAGACATCATCATGGATGCGCTGTGCATGTGCAGAAGATTCTGCACATACGCAGAAGCACCGCGCGCACGTTCCCAGTTCCGAATCGGTAGCAAAGGTAAGAGGATTTCATGCCTGATTCAGAGGGCAAATCAACTCAATTTTTTTCACCAACAGAATTTAGCTCGGAAACGTTTCCTTTATCTCTTATAGAGTTAGCAGAACAGTAACTGTCTATGCATCAAAAAAAAAGTGATAAGCAACAAGGGAGATAAAAAGGAAAAGGTCACGAACTTCCTCTTTATTTCCCTGTACTGCAGAGGCTTCAAAGTTTAAGCCAAAAAAGGGGGGGAAGGGAGGGAGAAGGACTGATTTTATGTGTTTAATATATTCTATTTTGCATACTTCACACTGAAGAGAAGTAGCCTATTCAAACAAAAAGAAGAAGAAAAAAACAGTTAGGTGTGAACTTATCATGCTTCTGCCATTTTTCATGCTTCTTTTCCAGAGAAGACAAATTCCTAACTACTACTACTGGGAATTTCTCCCTACTCCATTATAACCACTTAAACACCACTTAAAGTTGTCCAACAGTTCTCTGTTCCACACTGCTGTTGCATGTTTGTATAACATATGGAACATATCATGGCTTATAATGTGTCTTGGTTATATAACATTAAATGAGAATACCTGGCTTCTTACAATATGTCAAAGCACACACTACTGAAATTCATCTTTGTCTTGCTTAGCATGTTGTGCGTACTAAGGGTGATCATTTTCAAATATGTATGTTTCCAATTACCACTAATGGTCTCTCCCCCATTACAACCATATTTATTTTATTTACTTTTCAAGACTTAATAGCCATTTAATCAAAACTGATTCTGGAAGTCCCAAAGTTCACATTCCCTTCCCCTCTAGCCCTTTGTTTCCTGGCCAACCAAACTTCAAGAATTTCATTTTTCATTTTCATTTCCCTTTATTTGTATGCCGCCCTTTTCCCTGGGGGGACTCAGGGCGGCTCACAGTTCAAAAAGGTGGGGGGGGAAAGACAAACAATATTCCAACATGGAGACAATCTAGGAAGATTAGCAATCTAGGAATCTAGGAAGACTAGCAGAAATATGTCATCTTTGCAAAGATGATATGTTTTTGCTACTTTTCCTAGACTCTTGAAGTCTAGGTTTTACTTTACTTTACTTTATTGTCATTGTATGAATATAAACAGTTTACACATACAACAAAATTCGCCTAACACCCAGAGACCAGGCCCTACACACATAACAATCTCCAAACATACACCCATGAGTTTTCACATGCCCTAAGTTTTGCAGACCACTATTATTCATAGACAACCAATCTATAAGCAACCAGTTGGTTTAAGCTTAATTTTGTATTGCTAATTAAAAAATAAAAAAATTGGCCAGAGTCTTCTGAAACCCCTTTAGCAGTGCATATGGTGAAGAATGAAAAGTAAAAACAGAAAAGGGATTGGTCATCGCTATTGTTGGCAAAGTTCAATATAGATTTTCAACAAGGCCATTTCTAGCATGCTGCCCATTCAGTGCTATACCTCCAATAAAATGCTGTCCTTAGAAAAGTGCTGTCCGGTCCATCCATCATGGGGTAAGAGATTTTGTTTTGTCTTTCTCAAGCAAATAAACTTCCTACATGCACAATTCGCTTTCAGTTTTCAGCATGATCATACGACATTCAAAATAACTGAATAACAGAGTTGGAAGTTTTGATTGTCACTATTAAGTCTTGAAAAGTAAATAAAATAAATATGGTTGTAATGGGGAAGAGACCATTAGTGATAATTGGAACAGACCTTAGACATCTATTATTCCAAGCAGGAAACACTGTACCATTTCAGACATTTGTTGTCCAATCTCTTCTTTAAAAGTCCTAATCCTTGCACAGAAGTTGGAACTGAGAATCTTGTATGCAAATCCTCCTCATATTAACACCTGCTTGTATAAATAGACAACGTTTGTACTCTGCTGACAGATAAGTGGCATCTTGTATGAGTCTGTAGAGATTCTCAGTCATCCAGGTCATGGTTGTCCCAAAGATGCTTTTTTTTCAGGAGGCAACTTAACTTTCTTGTTTTTCCTTTTGAAGATGTATCGCTTCTCATCCAAGAAGCTTCTTCAGCTCTGACAGCCTCTTCCATTCTCCACTATCTTGTCAAAGCTGAAGAAGCTGCTTGGATGAGAAGCGAAACATCTTCAAAAGGAAAAACAAGAATGTCCAGTTGCCCCTGAAAAGAAAAGCATCTTTGGGACTAGCATGTTGTATCTTCTACAGACAGACAGAGAAATAAGGACAGCTCCCTGTTTGTGTGAACTCCATGGCCAAAAGTAAGAGATTCATGGGGATATTTTGCCTGTGCATAGAAATACATTTCTTTCTCCAACATTACTACACCATTTGCTCCCCCCCCCCAGCAACGAGTGACATTGAAACCATGCCAAAGTTTTTGTCAAGGAGTATTGCAAGCATTATTTCATATTACATAGGACTCCCACAGACCTTTGAAGGAAACATGGTGATAAGATAAAGAAAGCCTGGGCATCTGAAAAGGCTTTTTTTTAAAAAAGAAAAACAAAGATAGAGAAAGCTACGTGGAAGAGATAAACAACAATGGGCATAGAAGTCACTTATTTTCATAAAGAAAAACGAAGACAATTTTTATGTGTTCATTTAAAAAGGTCAAAAAACCACTGTGGAAGTTTCAAATAACTTCTTTAAAAACATGTCTTTTCTACGTGGGAATTTGAAATCATAGATTTGGTGCATGCAAAAAAGGAAAAATAACTGCAGCATAAATGTTCCTACTTCAGGCTTTTAAATTAACTGGTGTGGTGATGGTGGTGTTTTATGGGCAGGAAAGAGGAGCAAAGAAGGTGGGAAAATCAGCCCAAAGTACACTTAGGCTTGTAGCTGAGGTTCCAGCCACCCTTGCCTTAGAAGACATGTGGTTGTGCTAGGAAAGGAAATGCCGTGTTTTTCTAGTCAGAAAATTAGATCTTGTGTACCGTCCTACTGAGTTAGAAAATGGGGTGCAACTGAAAAAAAAATTAACAAAATATTTATTTTTAAATGAAAGTAGGGTGCAGGTGTGGGGTGATGTAGCAAACTCAGCTGATATTTTTTTCTGCAGGTTCAGTTAGCAAGCAATTACAGAAATTATAGAAAGGATTAAAAACCTGAAAACGTTGGTGGAACCTGACACACTACAATGGCATGGCCTTCCTTTGATTGTGGCCATGATTTGAAACTCATCGTCAGATTTTATCATTGCTTTTTCCTTTATTTTAATAAAATATAATTCTATAGTTAAGAAATAAATGAAGTGCTTCTCTTTTCAGTATACATAGCGCAAGCCCAGCGCAAGTCTTCCTTTCTAAAGATATTTAATTGTAAGCATATGTATAGCCATAAGAGAGGGATACATATATAGACACAGGACCAGGAACAACATACAATGTTACATACAGAGAGCAGCACACATAAATGAAGAAACATGATTCAAAAACCATGTATATGAGCATGTAACTATTTGATTTAACACAACTTTCCTTCCACAAGTAAATTAGAGGTAGTCTTTATTTAATAACCATAACTGACTCTGGAATTTTGATTGAAAATCATTGCATTTGTTAAACAAGTCTCTATGTGACCTGATGCAATTTTATGATTGTTTTTATGAACAGTTGTAAGGTGGTCGTTAAGCAAATCACATGGTCATTAAGTGAATCACATGATCATTAAGCGAATCCATTCTCCTAAATTGAATTTTTTTGACGTAAACCAGCAAAATGTGTCGTAAGCCATAGTAATGATTGTCGGGATTGTGGCATCCCATAAAGACAAACAAAGCCATGATGATAAACTAAGTGTCTGATCCGTTCACTATTCAGGAATTCGTTATGAAACCATATCTAGAATGGGCTCTTTGAAATAGGAAAATAACAATATCAACTACCATTAATATAATATTTAGTTATGTTTTCTGAGATAAAGTTGCTTCGAATACCTGGATGCCTTCT